TATCCCGCCAGAGGCATTTTATTACACAATTTCTTTATTCATTTATTTACAGGACTACATTCCTTGAGAGCTATGCTACACGATGTATTATTATGTCCTTTATTCGAACACTGTATTTACCTTTCTTTGATGATTTATGTATATAATTTAACAGTGTCCCCTGAGTGGGCGGGGTCATGGGAAGAAAACCTAATGTTTGCTTGTTCCGTCGCGGGAAGATTATTTTAGACGTAGGGGTGGGGGTGGTTTGCAGTAGTCTTGGGGTTCTCCAGCTTCGCAGAGTTTTGTTTTTTCTAGATGCTGAGAAATTTACTTACGTGCATTACGAGACTTCCATTGATGAATGAATACACACTGAATTAATAGATTTCCCCCATTTTAGTGTGGACAATTAATAATTGCGATGATGAAGATGATGTGATAATGATAAGGAGGCGAAGGCATTGTAGCAGGTGACGACAGGCTCCTGTGCAAGGTTAATTAACAGGCCCTTTGATATGAGTGTCAACCGAGGCCCGTATCCCGATCGTCATCACATTTTCAATGCACACAATCGGACAACAGTAATTATCTATAAGTTATATAATCAGTATATTCTCGACTGTCATGAAAATATCATATATCTAAAAAATTACGTTATATGCATGCTCGGAAGCGGAAATTTTAACCTAAAAGTTTGATCTATGTTTCATGTTGTTTGTTGAATAGTCTTTAATGATATTATATTCTAATATACCACAACATAAGGAAGAACACTTTGTCACCTACAAAGTTCAGACCCGTATACATTTATATCTCCTTAGGCCTAAATCATAAGGAAGTCCGCTCTATATCCAAATTTCATGAAATTATACGTTTTATGCATGCACCGACGTCGGAATTTCATGTTGTTTACTAAATAGTCTTCTTTAAAAAATATAACAGTCTAAAATATGACCACAACACAAGGAAGTTCATTCGTTAAATGTTTAGTAGATAGTACAGAGAATTATGATTGTTTATCAAAATCATTATAAAGAGTCGGTGGCCTGCAGATTTTCGAACGAGAACACGTACAGTAGGCGTTACTCCATGCTGAGCATGGATAGTTGTTCTATAGCTGGGTACTACTTTCTGGCTAAAAAAACTCTGTCTTTAGGTCTCCGCCTTTTGGCCTTTTTACATCCTGATTGATGCGTCGGGGATAATAGCGTTGTGTTCGTTGACAATCAATAGAAAATTCAAAATTAGTGAGTGGTAAAATAATCGAGCTCTCCTTTCGCCCTCTGCTGGATCCGTCACTGAACTAATGGGTACACTTCCTTTTTTCCTCTCTTTCTTTCTTCTCTTTAACTCTTCTCAATTTTTATTTTTATGCGTGACTGACGGGGCTGGGGGGAAGTTGACGGGGCGGGGCTAGTTGGGCTAAACTATGGTTAGCCCAACTAGCCTTCAATTAAATAATATTATACAAACTGTTTTGGTTCAATGTCGTAATAATGTAGGCCTATGTACGAAAGTGTGTTCTACGCAATATTGTTGTAATATAATAATATATTGCTTATGTCTTTGATTTTTTTCTCTATATAATGGCCTAAAAAATGAAATAAAATTACCTGATCTTTTTTCAAGAGGAGAAACCCTTGAATTTTGAAGAGCTTAAAGGCCATTAAAAACTCCTCAGAAGTCGGGAAAGCTCATTTCCGGCCATCTAGGAATCAAAATTTTCCCGGGGGAATTCCTCAGGACCCCTTTTGATGTTGGGGTTTTTTGAGACATTTTGAGCCACCCTATTTCATATCCTGGATCCGCCCCTGGCTAGAGTGCATTTCCCTTGTATTTCGAAATTGTTTATAAGTAGGCTACACACTGCTTTAACCAATACATCGTTAATCAACGATGCAAGATGACGCTATGTATAAACAATTATTGATAAACTTTTACTCGTCAATTGGTACAAAAACGTAAGCTAACATTTCCAAATCGTTATTTTTGTACTTTTTGAAAAGCGTACACACACCTTCAACCCCCTCCCCACAGCATACGTTTTGTACGCTCGTGAAAATGATGAAAATAACGGATGACCCATAAAAGACACCTCAGAAGTCGGAAAAGCTCATTTTCCGCCATCTAGGAATCAAAATTTTTCCTGGGGAGCACCCCCACTCCCCTTTCTTTGAAGTTCATCGATTCATGGAAAAAAGAATATGTATGCAACTACTCATTTTTATTGTTTCTGTATGTAGACCTATACCGGTAGGTATTTCCCGCCAAACAATATTCTCTTTCTTTTTGGGTTGTTATGAAAATATTTGCAATAATAATTCGTACCGGTAGTTGAATGTTCTGGAAGATGTAGCAATTAGAAACCAACAATCGATGTACATCTAGCATAAAAATTATCTGCCCAAAAAAAAAAAAAAAAAAAAAAAAATTGTACGTGGTGCTGTCAATTAAAGGTCATCACACTGCACCAGATGACTTTTCTCAAACTCACGATATGCTGCCAATTTATTAGACATTACAATATGACACTGCACCAGATGACTTTTCTCAACTAATTTTTTCTTCCTGCCAAGTTATTAGACATAACAATAAAATATTTCAGACGTGCCTGCATATATAAATTGTTGGGCAACAACAAGGCAGCATTTATATCTTGATTTCACATTGTGTGAACTGATATTATTGCCTGTGTTAAGCTTATACATTAACTATCTTAATTTGTATATTTGAGAAAATAATGTCAACAATTCCTAAATTGGCTCACAGTCATTTGGGATTATTGTAGTAAAATGTCTGTAAATCGAAAACAAATTGTTTCACTTCATGACTTAATGCAAGCTGTAACAATTCTGCTGTTGTTGTCAAGGTCTAAACAATCGTAGCGCAAAATAAACGTAACCATGTAGGTTTGTGGCAGGGGGTGTACCAGGATTGCTGACTTAGGGGTGGGGGAGGGGGTCAATGTTCCTGACGAGAGCGTAAGTAGGCGTTGTCGGGCGTCGTTCAGTCAGAATCTCTAGGAGAAATTGTTCCGGAAACTATAACAACTTTTCAAATGCTTATTTATAATCAACCTAAATGACGCATGTACAAAAATACATATACCCCCTGAAGAATTGTTTTTTCTTTTTGATGGGCGGAGGGGAGCAGCTTCACCAACCCCTATTGGCGCCACTCCTGATTTGTGGGAAGTTCCTGGCACCTGATAGTTATATTTTGACAAGAAAGGAGATATTGTATATAGTATATATTGTCTAATTTAGTATATATAGTAATGAGTAATTGAAGGGCCTCCACAATGCACAGCGTACATGGTGTAAAAAACATAGTGTGAAAAGTATTTTAAAGTGTGTGTGACTGAGTAATTAAAGTGATTGAATAATTAAACCAAAAATCACTATATCATTGATAATTTCATAAAAATTTACTTCAAAATGCTAGTTTCTATGTGATAAAATATTGATGACATCGATATACATTACACACACTTCTTTCTTTTCACAGCTTCACTAGTTTGCTTTTATTTTATGTTACAACATTATGCAAATCATTTGTAATAAGTACAAATAATTAATTTATTACACAGCAATAGTCATAATTGCATACAGGCAATTTTTTGAAAGGCACCAAACTATTAAAATATTCATATTCAACAAAACGGAACTATACTAAATTAATTGGGAATTTTCAAAATATCCACTGTGACAAAAATATGTAATCATATAACTAGAAATAATATTTGGAAGTTATGATTGTCTAGAAATTCAGTAACAATACAAATCTAATGTACTTAAGTAAAGAATGCGTTCTCATAACAATACCTTGGTTATCAAATTCGGAGGGAGGTAGAGATATACAGTATCATTAAAACAAAAGACAAATAGATTTTTGGAACCAGAATATTTAAGTACCCCTTGGCCTCAGATTTTATTCCCCTACCATCCCCAAGTTGCATCCTCTCCCCAAGATGAATTGAGTATTCTGTATTCATCATTCAGTGCTCTCTTTTTCATTGGAGGGTTGGATGTCATGAGTTGCCATTATGGTTCTCAGGCATTCTCTATTTTTCATATTATTCTCCAATGCCTAATCTGAATCCGCATAAAAAAATTAATTTATTGCACATCTGACGAACCACACAAAAATTATAATGTACAGCTTGGTAGCTAACATCAAAATAATTCTGAAATATAAAAATTCCAAGTTGAACACAAACAAAAATAATAGCAGTAAATTTGAATATATAAGTATTATATCATAAAATATAGAATTAATGCCAGTAGCATATCAGGGGGGCATGGGCGGGGGGTGTACCCCGGAAAGTTTGGGCCCTTGTCGCAAAAAAAAAAAACCACACTCATGTAATTAAACATAACCTCATAAAACTCATTCCACCAGCATTTTCCATGTAGGTTTATTCAATTTCCCTAAGCTCTTAATCCTCCACAATCCCCTCTCCATCAATTCTCATAAATATGCCACTGTTCTTATTAATGAGCAAAGAATTATCTTAAATAGTTACAAAAATAAAATGCTTCATTAACAGTACACAAGTGAGCTAATACCAATTTTATTTTATTTTACTGGCTGTAGCTCGATTTTGCCTATCCACAAGGTTAAGACTGAAGTGCGCCCTTAAACAATTGTTACAAAAATGCTGTGTAAACGAATAGGTTTCTAAATATCAACTACCTTGATTTAGTGCAAAGAAATTGACTTATATTATAACTATGGTAAACATATAATGGTAATCTGCCAGTCAAGATTTAAAATATCACAATAAAACATAAATAAGAAAACTTTGTATATATTTAGGTAAGTTATTACCTTTCACTTTAATATCAAAATGAGTAAAACAACTAAAGCCCTATGTCTAAATATGGTCATGATTACATCACCTCATGACCATATATAGGCACATCATGACTAAATATTTTGACATTTTTTGTCAAAGAAAGTTTGATAGTGTGCACAAAACTCAATGCATAAATAATACCATTCTAAATCCTGCACATAGACTTATGAATTGACTGGTTTTAGGAATTTTCGTAGTAAAAAGTTTGTAAAATTTTAAAAATACAATTTTTTAGATCAGTGTCTCGATGGAAGTTGATGGGATAACCTATTTGATCGTTTGAATGACAATTTCATGTTTTGTTTTTTTAATATATTATGTAGGTAATATTTTACAGAATTTATCACAGGTCTCCCTCTATATTAAAGACCCCTCAAATTAAACACTACTTTCTTTATCTTTATTCATCTAATTAGAGACCAAACCTGCTAAAGACCATTTTAAGAGTGACTATTATAAGTTATGTAAAAGAGGATTATTTCATATCTGTAAGCTGCAACCTACTAGAAGAAATGAACAACTGTATGTACCAAAAAAATGTATAATGTGATTATGACTTCAGATGGGTATGACTGTTGATTTGTATGAATTAATTTGTATCTGGGGGCGTTTACATCTCATGACAAGTTGCGAAATTTGATTACAGGTACTAGCAACCTCAGTCAATGCTTGAAGTATGGATGACTGTTACTCAGCAATATCTAACATTAATATTTTCCTATGAATGTCAAACTAAATTTGACTTGCTTGTGAGCATGAGTCTATTAGGAATTTTCAGTAGTTATCAATTTTATGAATGTTCAAGTTTACATTGATTGAGGCAGAATTAAAAAAAAAAAAAAATGTAGTAAATATAGGAAGTCTTTGGAATTGGATCCATAGACAAATTATTGTGATTACCATTGGATTTGAATGCTACAGGATAAAACAGCTGCACGGGTAATCCTTTTAAAGATATATGTGGCAAAGACAAGCCAAACCAGTCACTCGTCGCAAATCCTGTTTCAGAGAAAATGGCCAAAATATGCTGGAATGTCAAATTTTTATAAAATCTATTTTATTATACTAAACTAACCTTTACATATCTATACATCATTCTATGCTGTTATTTTTCCACATTTTTAATGTTAAAACAACACTTTTTAAGGATTTAATGATCATTTCTGCATGAGAAATGCCTGAAATCATAAACTTTGAAGGCTGACTTCTCATATATTGTTCTTTAAACAGCTCTATGTTTAAACGCTTGTAACTTCATAAGGAAATGTCCGATTTCAATGATTTTTTTACCATTTTATAGCTATTATTTTACTATCTAACAATGTATTAATAACTCAAAGTCGATTTTTACAACGAGTGACTGGTTTGGCTTGTCTTTGCCACATATACTGTCTGGCCACACCAAAAACCAGCCTGCTGTCGCTAAATGTTAAACTGAGTAATCAGCATTAGAATGTACCAGTATTGTATACTTCAGTACAGAAAAGCTGTAATACTTTTACTCATAACTTTGGCAATAATAAGTCAATTCCAGAATGACCTGGGCCTATGCTTTTAAAATGTGGAAAATATGAGTATATTAAGTCAATTTTCTTGTAATGGTCACTAATGCTGGTGTTAGCATGGCAAGCCTCAAATATAAGATTAAAACAAATGATGAACCACCATCTCTACCAAACTGACAAATGTCAATCAAAATTCAATGATAATGAATTTAATTTTTCGGATCACAAAGTAATAGTGATATACTGAAAAGCTATGTATTCAAAAATTACAGAGGTACACAAATTGTTTTTTGTTTTACTTTAAGTTACTTAAGAATAATTCTAGATAATTTGACAAAAATGCGAAACTGCATCTCATTAAAATTAGCAAATGACAGATTTTGATTACGATATATATTATCTATATTTTTAATATTTTAATTGATTCATTGCATGTAAAGCTGCGGACATTCACTGTGTTGAATCCAACTGCGCTTCCTGTTAGCGCTATACGTCGTGAAGCTGTCTGCTAATTGTTGGTGGCAGCCCGAAGGTTCATCATTAAAAAGAATCTGTTGCACACTCGCTGTGGCGATCTTCATAGAATCACGACTGTCTTGTGTATGTATTGACAATAAAGTGACTAAAATTAAAGTATTTTCTGTACAGTAGGAATTATGCTGAATGTATGTATTTGTTGACAAAGAAATAAATATAGCATTATATAAATACTGTATACGTAGGTGGTATGTTCTGTTTTAGTTTCCTTTTGTTAACTGTATACACACAAGACTGTACAGTAAAATGTATTCAGTTGAACTATAGTTTTTGAATAAAAGTTATACGTTATTTCAGACCATATATTAAATAATATGGTTTTTAAATATTATGCCATAACCCAACATAATAAAACTATATAAAGTTTGCAACTTATGCAAACATTTGTACAACTACCAGAGTCAGAATTGTAGAAAGTTTTGCATAATTAAAAACATTTTTTTATTACATAAATTAAATATACAGTATTCATATGGTGCTAGAATTACTTTTAATAATTATATATTCAAACAAAAGGATTAAATATTCATGTATATTTCTTAACATACAAAATACATGTATGCTGTATACAGTGGCGGAGCCAGGGGGTGGGGGGGGGGGCTTGGGTAAGCCTAAGCCCCCATCAGACACATCAAGGCCTCACTGGCCGTCGGACCAATAAAATTTTTAAATAGACCTACACCAAACCAAAACATGACTTTCACAGTTCTAGAATGTCATTTCTGGCCATCCAGAGGTCCCTATTTATAAAAAATCCCATTTCCACACTCCCACTCCTCAGCGATACAAGCTCAAGGCCCCCTGTCGGACAGCTTGTCACAACCACCAACCCCTCCCCAGAAGATGTATCCTAGAGCCGCCACTGACTGTATACAGTATATCCTGGCTAAATATACTTTATATCCCAAGAAAGTGATCTTTCTCATAACAGTGTGTATAGAGACTACTGCCTATTTTTTTTCTGCAATATGCTTTCCTTGAAGCTATGTACGCTTTTAAGAAACTTGCACAAGCACAGAGCTGAAATCTTGTTTAACTTTGCTCAAAAAATTCTCAACAGATCTTTTTTTTTAAACCGTTCACCGAAAACTTGGTCTAACGTGCGTCAGTCTGCAAATACAAAATTACAAATATGTTTCCTCGTCCTCAACATTAAGGGGCAGCGGAGGTTGAACGTTCTTCAGACGTCCCGGGGAAGAGGCTAGTCTGTAAACCTAAAGAGAAATATGACAAAACAATTTTATCAGCCATCATTATAATTAATTTATTATTAACTGCAATAAAAATAATATAAACTATAATGTATGATGAAGCTACATTTAGATTTAATGTTAAATGATGACATCAGCATGTTCTAGCCCTGTCCAGAATATCAAATTATATTTGAAAAAAAAACATGTGACATGCCCAAATATGGTCATGATGTCATCACACCATGACCATATATAGGTGCATCATGACTATATACGGGCATACAACAGGTTTTTGGTCAAATAAAATTTCATAGCCTGGGCAGGACTTAAAATTCAAAGTCACTAATGTTAAACTCATTAAATATCTATCATGTTAATTAATGCTTATGAAATCAAGTAAGTCAAATTGTATGCTGTTGCATTGTTAGTAGTGTTAAATGTTAAAGTAGTTAATCAAGCCTCTAAGCAAGTCAATTGTATAAACATACATACATTTCTTCCACCTTGATATTCAAAGTACAAGACGGATAAAAGAAGAAAATGTTAAGATGGAGGCGAAAGGGTAACAAAGACTGAAGATAAAGCAGTTTGCATGTGATTGTATAAATTTAAAAGAAATGTGAAGTAAATAAGTGAAGATGTATGAAAGGCAAGGAATGCAGTTCAAAATATAATGAGGAAAATTCCATGCACAAAAACATTGTTGGTACTAAAAACTGACAGCAGAGCAGAAATATACAAATATCTATATTTATTATCTTCCATTAAAATAAATATAACAATAATATTTTCATGGAAAATATGAAATATTAATGCATACTTTCCATTTAAAATACATAACCATTAGCCAGAAGTGTATATATGAAATATAAATTGTCCACACAAACAGAAAATATCTGGTATACATAAATTTGTGTCGGCCTATGAGCAAGCAAAGAAACATGCATGTGTTGAGGGCAGTATAGCAAGTTTATAATACCAGAAACATGCAAGACTTTGGTAAAAATGAAACCAAGGATACAAGGCATAGGGCAGATTCATCCCATCAAAATTTGCAATTTAGTAAATGCCAAAGAGCCCTTTGTGTCTTAAAAAAAAAATAAATAAATCCTGTATTCACCCTTTATTAGTTGTAACCACAATACAATTTTCTACAATAGAAATTCTACTACAATTATTTTAACTAAACCACCTGTCCTAATTTGCATATCAAAGCTCATGCGAATTCATGCACATGGAACAATTTGATTTTTCACTCAATACTGAGATAACAAGCTTAGATAAAAATACAAAACGAACAATGAAAATCACAAACACAAGAACAATTAAGGAATATTGCAAAGGGACATAATTCCAGAAGGGCCCCCAAAAAAGCACATTATTCAACTCAACAACATTAAGACTAGTAGGTTCTACAACATGTAAGAATACTGCATGGTATTATGAATCAAAGAATTAACAGCAGGAATCATGCAATATACATGATATTGAGTATGTCCCATTCAGTTGAAATTACTTTCTGGCTAGCTGTACCGAGTTGAAAACATTCATCATGACAATGTTTTAGGGAAAAATAATAAATAAAGATAACGATGACAATGATGATTATGAAATTGATGATGATTTGCTGATGAAGATGGTAATGATGCTTTTGAGACCAGTGTTATATTCTGTCCACACTAACAAATCTGTCTGTGACAAATATCTTGAGAATGTCACTTGGTACTTGTCACATGAAACTTGGTAGTGTGAATGGAACTTAATTTATACACCTATTTACAAAAATGAAAAAGCTTGCAGCTTGTTTTGTAGAGTTGTAGAATATATGTTATTTCCGATTACAAATAACCTTAAACAAATTCATGCAATGGTTCCCTGACAAACTTTACAAAAACCAAACAAATGCAACAATGCAAAGCAACATTAAAGAATGCTAACTTACAAAAAAAAACAATGAAAAACAAAATTCTAGAAATGGTTAAAGCATGCGTTTCTTATCAACAATCATAATTTACTTTTAAATAAGGCAAAATAAAAAAAAAAACATGTTTAGTTTCTGTTTCAAGTCAGAAAGCCCCACATTATATAGTACAATTTTAGTACTAAAACAATTTGTAATAAGCGCCACTTTCAAATAAGCACCACTCTTGAAAAAGTGCCATACTTAAACCCCCAAAAATGTTATAAGCACCACAGCCAATATTGAAACATATATTATACGGTAGGCTTAAGCCAGGCCTAAGGACCCAGGCCCAGGATTTATCAATCTCAGCTTAGCAAATGTCTGAAGTCAAAAAAGTTCCTAAGCAAATATCAAACCATCTTAGTAAAATCTTAGCTTAAAAATTGTCTTAGATGGCGCATGCGTACAATCGACTTTTTAATTTGAAGCAACTTTTAAAATTAAGCAAAGCAATTAAAGCAATATCGATAAATCTGACTTAAGCTAAAAAAAATGGACTTCAGACGAATTTAAGCTGATTTCTAGTTTTATAAATCCGGACCCCGGTACTCATTCATTATGAGAATGTAAGAATTTCTTGGAGATTTTTTTCGGTGGCTTGCCCATGAATACTGAAACCTACAGCAGGCAGACCAAGGATAAATGAACATATGATGGGGACGACAAACATGTTTTTTATTTATTTGCCAACAAAAAACTACAAAATAACATGCACCACTTACTTGGGTAATTATCTTTAAATCTTGATTGATAATGTAAAATAATTGAAGCATCAAAATAAAGGGGAGAAATGTTGATGTTGAATGGCATTAAGATGACATTTTCTGTTCTTTTTTTTTCTTTTACAGTTTTAAAATGGTTTATGTTAGTTTTTAACTTTATTGTAGCTATTGTTTTTGGTTTAAGGATAAGTAAGTTTACTTCATTGTCACCAGATTTCCATTTCCAGCAAACAGTCACTGGCATAAATGCAAATGACAGATTGTAGTGAGAATTTAAGCTGAATTCTTGATTAAACCAATGTGTACAGATTCCTGGTAACTTGTACTGTGTCAATTCAGAAACACTCAGAAACCATATTTGTTATTAGATTATTATTCCACATTCTTCTCCAGTCAAAGTTTGAATCAGCAGAATGTAAATAACTGTGATATCATTTATGATATGTATTTTCATCCAAAGAGCCTTCTGCTGACTGCTTCTTGTTTGTGATCATAGTTGGCACAGCTGTAACCTCTAGTTTACTAGACCCCCTAAAATCAGTTCAATAAGTTGTTTTTCTTGATCACTTTTATGTAAAATACTTGTTTGTAAACACATAAATTTATACATAAAAAATAGATAACATGTTATGTTTTAGTTGTTATGTTAGTTGAAAATAATATTATACAATTTGGAAACATGTTTGTAAGGAGTAACAGATATATATTTACATTTGCCATCATCCTGTTTTGCCTACAAATCAGAAAGGTATATGTATGTAACTATTCTAAGGAATTGTTAGCAATTTAGAATTACAAATAATATTTGGTTTTGAGCATGAAGTATGAGCAGTAAACTGTTGCTTTTTAAAACTCCCAAAACAGGAGTAATAAAAGTTAAACCCTAGATTGAAAATCTAAACCACACAAAAATATTAGACAAAATATCAGTTTTATGTGAAGCAAAAACACCATGTTTTAATAAACCTTGGTTAGATATATTTCATTCTTTGTAGATATTTACAAGACATGTCAGAAGCAATGCGTTAAAAAAACACAAATGATTCCTCTGTATTAGTTACATTTTTGCACTTGCTTTCTGCATTTTGAAATAAATCACCATCACTGCTTTATCACCACTTTCAATCTTATTTCATTGACAATAATAAGCAAGTTTATAAGCCTCTATAATACTAATTTCAACAGTAAAGCTTTGCAGATACTCTGAGATATTTGTCTATCAAACTCAGCAAACACTGTTGATCAATATGTTTATCTCATCATGTCAATGGACCTGTCTGGAGTGAGTCAATCAAACTTAAAAATTGACACATCAGAACAGCGCCAGAAATGCACGCTTCCCACAAATACACATTTACATACTTATATGCTAGCATTTTGTAGGACCTTAGCAAACTATCCAATAGGCTGGGGGTTACACAATACTCTATTTCCATGTTTGATCAAACAAAGTCTCCTGCAGTCTGACAGATAAAATCAGCGAGTATGTTCCTGGCATAAACTATCATGAATAAATATCACTCTCCTTAGAAAAATATAAGCAATATAATACTTTCCAGATGCATTTGAGCATTAATGCTGACAAATATTTCATACAATGTAATTGCATGCATATATGTTAATAAACTGAAGAAATAATTTCATTTTCAACTTATATATAGCAAGAAAATATATTTTCGAAACTTATTTTTGAGATCTAACTATTCAGTAATCTGAACATCAGTAACTTAAACAAAAAGCACACTTTGGTAGAACTTTGCAATTGTAATTCTGCATTTGAAACATAATTTGAATGGTCCATTGACAGCTACAACTACCAGTATTCTACTAGGTTAAGAAAAATCCACACTTGTTTTCTTACATGCAATAAAATAAAGAAAAAATGTATGGTTTCTACAGATATAAATGTACACATATTTATAAGGGACTGTAATCTTATTCATTTTTACTAACCTTTTAAGAATTTTACAAAGCATTATTAACTGTAGAAATTATGGTTGCTAAGTTTTGGGGCAATCGGCTTACAACGGTATACAAAACAATTTCAGGCAGCTATACTAGCCTCAATGCTAGCATATTTCTTTTGCTGGATTGGTGCACAAATTTATTTATTTATTTATTTACTGGTAATTGATTGGCCCTCTATGTCCTTAAAAATTAAGGACTGTAGAAATCCTAAATAGATAAGATCATAAAATTTCAGGACAAAAGTATATCATAATATTTGATATCTGAAGCCTTCCTTTTTTAAAAAAAATCTTTTTCTTTTTTCAGTAAGCTAATTTTTTTTGGCATCCTATTAAGAAGTTTATATACCATTATGTACATCTATTTATATTTATACATATATTTTATATATACTATATACATCATAATGTAAGCAAATCTCCTTGGATACCAGCTTGTAAAATAGTACTTCAAAATTAGTAATAGATTGATGTCAACCTAAAATTATATGCAAACAATTTTAAAGAATAATTTTAAATTTTCTATGCAAGAATTTGTATTGCACCAGAAACAAAATTTCTTCTGTAAAGATCAATGATCAATTAAAATCAATTTTCTGAACCTGCAAATTTGTATTCCTCCAATTTTTTTTTTTTTTAAACCTATTTTAAATAAATACCACTAATTCTTAAATGGTAAAACATTAAAAAAGGTTGTAAAACTATAAAATCCAATGCTCATGCAAACTGGATAAAACATGTATCCAAAATCTTAATCTTTTTACTTTCTAGTTTTTTTTTCCATGCAGCTTGTATGATAGCTACTTTTATGAATATTAAGTTATTCTCTTAATGAAATGAATTTACCACAAACACACAAAAGGAATACAAAATGTTTTGGAAAGAAAAGACATCAAGCAAAGGAATGTTCTTGTTCAACAAATTAGTTATGATGAAAATGATTAATTTCAATTGCCATAAAATATTAGATACACAATTATTAATAATAAGTTTATATTTATATATTTTATTTTATATTTATTTTATTCCCATGCTGTGTAATATTCTAACATGTGTAAATAATTCAAAATTGTTTCTTTACAAAATATATTGTTTTAGATAAATTTTGTCCAGTCTGTCTAATATTGTTTTTGTTTATTTAATGGCAAATAAAAATTAATCAATTTCAGCATAAAGCTAAAAATGTAACAAGCTGGTTCACAAAGAGAAAAAAATATACTAGTACCTTTTAAGGAAAACAAAAGAAAATTTAGACGAAAATAGGCTGTGTAGTAAGAAGCAAAGAATAAAGTAACTGAGTGAGAGTGAAAAGGAAAGAACAAAAGTAAACTAAAAGAATAACAATCAACATTCTTACCAACATAATTAAAATAATAGATGGCAAAGAAAACTAATATAAATAAAAATTGTTGATATCAAAATTTACATATAACTTCGTGCCCAAAACAAAAATTATATAAGTATCTATTTTATTTATATTATTATTCATACTGATAAGCCTATTTAGTATCAAGCCTCTATTATCTCTATTATGATCTATAATCAGTTCATGCTAAAATCATAGTTTCATTTTTATATCAACATTTTTTTTACTGTTGTTTAATTTACTTTACCATATAA